ACTTTTAGCAAGTTGTTAGGCTGGCAGGGTGACAGCAGGTGAAGTCCTCGGGACCACAGATGGATGACAAGAGAATGATTCCCCCCAAATTGTCCTCTGACCTCCATACCTGTACACACAAGATAATGAAGTGTAAAAAAGGGGGGGACTGACTAGATGGTTTTGTTGCTAAGCCTAATGACCCAAGTTCAGTGTGTAGAAGGAAAGATCTAATTCCTGAAAAGTTGTCCTCTGACCTCCATACATCACACACACACACACTCAATTTAATTTAAAGGAGTTAAAGGGTGTTTGGGGTTTGTTCTTTTCTTAATGGTTATCCAAAGTGTAATTTTAACATTTCACACAGTCACCTTGAAAGCACTTACTTTGGTACTGCAGTTTGAAACTTTAAAAAAAATGACGCAGGCCTTCTACATATGTGTTCCAGTCGCATGACTTGGTCTTCTTGTGGGACTCCTGACAGTGGAAGCAGGGGCTGTCTCTGACTCTTGCCTGCTTTGGGGATCCTTTCCCCATGCCGGATTGTCTCACCCAGCCTTAATAGAAGAGGAGGAGCCTAATCTCACTGCAGCTTGATATACCATGGCTGGCTGATATCCATAGGAGACCCACCTGTGTCTGAAGAGAAACAGAGGAGGACTGGATGGGGAGTGAGGGCGGGGACTTTGGTTGGGGTATAAAAAAATTACAACTGTTGGGTCCTGGAGCTGTGCAAACACAACAGGGAGCGGAACACCGAAGTCTAAAAACCAGAAGCAGCGTTTGTTCAGAAACGCCTCGGGAAGAAATTCTACTAGTCAGGGCTACAGGGAATGATTTGACTCGGTATCCCCGAGGAAGGGCTACAAGCTCCTTTTTACAGCCAAAGGTTATACACAGGGCAGAGAGAACATTTGGGGATTTATGCCATTTCGTGCGTCCCGGTGTCTTGAACTAGCACTCTCCAGGCACCTCTGAGGTGGAGGGGGATCCAGGATTTACTGCTGCTGATTACAGGGTGTTAGTCTAAAATGTTTACATAGTCGTGGGGTCATTTAAATCACCTTTCCCCTAACTGGGAGAATGCAGGGCAAGGGGCACAGCAGCTATCAGTCCTAATACATTCAGAAATGTGCGTACAGGCTACAAGCATACAATTTTTTTTCATATTCCTGGGCTCTTCAAAACCAATAATAACCCAGGGTTGGAGATCTAGCTGTGCTGGTAGAGCGCTTCCCTGGCATCCACAGAGTAGGTCATTGCAGCACCGGGGGGCATGGAGGCGTGAGGATCAGAGGTTCCTCATCCTCCATTCCATAGCAGGTTCAAGGCCGGCCTGGATACCGAGACCTGCTCTCAACAGCAATACTAGCCTGTCGGAGCACTTCGGTGGATAGATCTCTTTGGGCGTGTTAAATTCACACTTGCACTGTCCAGTTGCATAAGAAGCGTGTGGTTTTCAGACCCCCACAGCCGTGACCCCAGTTAGTGCCACCTCTGGTACTCTTCAAGTCTTACACCGACGGCCTGGAGCAGTCGGGACTGCTGACTCTCTTCCCTTTGCTTTCTCCTCCCTGGGATCTCCTGACCGCTCTGCTGACACTGCTGTGCAGTAAAATAATCCCTCGGGCTTGGCGGCATCGGCTCTCACTCTCCCGAGCCTCACTGCCTCCTGCCAGCTACCCTACTTACCTCCTGGCTTGGAGCCACGTCTAACTCTGCCAGTGAGTGCCATGCGCCTTCCAGACCTGCCTGCTTGGCGACACTTTTTAGGCAAGAGCACTGTGTACTCTACTCTCCAGGCCTCGTGAGGCACGCGCTCTCAGAGCCTATGCCTACTATACTACGCTGGGAGTTCTGAGTTTGATTACTACTGCTCTTCTCTGTTTGTGTTGTTTTTGAAGTGCAAGTTGTTGTTGTTGTTGTTTTATTTGTTTTAATCTAATTACATGGGAGGGGCAGTTAGAGAGGTCACTTGTGAAAGTCAGTTCCGGTTTATCCTGTAGGTTCTTGGGATTGAACTCCCGACCTCAAGCTTGGCAAGAAGTGCTTTACCCACTGAGTCGTCTTAACCCTCTCTCAGTATTTCACACCTTGTACAACAGAAAAGCAATTTATGTCCCTGGTCTCAACACAGCATGGGGGCTCACAGGACCTGGTCTGCCTCAACAAGGGCTGAAAAGTATATTTTAAAGATACATCTAGGTATATGGGTAGTCACACAAATACCTGTTGGAAATTACATGGGAACTGTGGTCAAGGGATTATGCTTAAAGTAAAAGCATTTGTCAATGGGTCACTAAAGTCTATCCGTGTAACCTTGGAAGTTCTGACTCACACCTGCTCGTACTTGGAAGTTCTGTGACTCACACCTGCTCGTACTTGGAAGTTCTGTGACTCACACCTGCTCGTACTTGGAAGTTCTGTGACTCACACCTGCTCGTACTTGGAAGTTCTGTGACTCACACCTGCTTGTACTTGTAGGTGCAAACAATTCACAGTATGAGGAAGTAGCCGCACCCCGCCTAATAATCAGTGTCACATCAGTGAAAACATAGGACAAAAATCACGGGTGGGAGTTCACGCCTGTAATCCCGGCACACTGGAGTCTACAGCAGGAGGATCACTGCCAGCCTGAGCTGTGTCCAAAGTTTCAGGCCGGCTTTGGCTACAGCAAGACCTCGTCTCGGAGGAAAAGGGGGGAAACCAACCGACCTGATGACTTACCCGTACGCCCCAGCATTTGTGAGGCCGAGGCAGAATACCCAAGAAAACCTGTTGACAGAGAAAACTGGGAGGGGCAGGAGAGACAGCTCTGCAGTGAAGAGCACTGGTGGTGTGAAAGGAAATGGCCCCCAAAGGGAGAGGCACTAGTAGGAGGTGTGGCCTTGTTGGAGGAAGTGTCTCACTGGGGGGGTGGGCTTTCAGGTCTTTTTCTCAAGCTTCACTCTGACAGTCAGTCGGCTTCCTGTTGTCTATAAGATGTAGCACTCTCAGCTCCTCCAGCACCACGTCTGACTGCACGCCACCATGCTCCCCATCATGAGGATACTGGACTGAACCTCTGAAACTGTAAGCCACCCCAAACAAATGTTTTCTTTATAACAGTTGCTGTGGTCATGGTATCTCTTCACAGCAAGAAAAACCCTAAGTAAGACACTGCTCTTGCAGAGGACCTAGGTTCAATTCCCAACACACATATGGAGGCTCACAAATGGTTTTGACTCCAGTTCCAAGGGATCTGACACCATTCCCTGGTCTCCTTGGGCACTGCACACATGTGGTGCACAGATATACATGCAGGCAAAACACTTACACACATTAAAAAAAGAAAAACCTGGGGTCAAGGAGATAGCTGAGCTGGTGGAGACGCTCGCCGCCGCCGAGCACAGTGACTTGAGTTTACTCTCTAGCACCCAGGTGGAAGAGAGCGGACTCCCAAAAGCTGTCCTCTGACCTCACAAGTGTGCACACACATAGGTACATACATAAACACACATGTATACACACAATAAGTATAAGAAAAGGAAAAAACACAAATCGATACCTTCTTTACATCATCAGTTTCTATTAGACCATGAATTTCAACTCTTGACGTCTATGTGGAGATTTACAAATTTAGCACGGTGCTGGATAGTTTTGTGTCAACTTGATACCAGCTAGTCATCTGAGAAGAGGAAATGTCTCCATATGATCCAGCTGTAAGGCATTTTCTTAACTAGTGATTGATGGGGGAGGGCCCAGCCCATGGTGAGTGGTGCCATCCCTGGGCTGCTGGTCCTGGGTTTTAGAAGAAATCAGGCTGAACCTGAGGCAGATGGGAGTGCTGTCCCCATTACTCATCTGTCATGTGGTGGCACAGGCTGGGGAGAGATATACCCTACCCCAGATGGGAGAGTTGGCCCTGAGGTCATAACTGCCCCTTATCAGCCAGTCCTGGGCAATTCAGTAGTGTGAAAGCAGGAGAACGGCCCCGCCCTTGCTCATTGCTGCAAGGGGTGAACTAGCCAGGGTAGTGCCGGAGAGCTCACCCTGGTGGTGAAGATAGGGGAGAGCTGGCGGGCTGACAAACACTGTAACTACCAAAGCCAAGAACCAAGGTTAAGTGTTGGCCCAACCCAACATCCACCCCATCTGTGATCTGCTGGGGGGTGGAGGGGGAGCAGTGGTCCTGTGGACCCAGAGCTGCAGGACCTCCAGGATACAGGGCAGCCTCGGGGTGTCCAGGAAGAGTCCCAGTGAGGGACCAGTGTTGATAGCGTAGCAGAGACCAGGGGCCTCAAGCCAGACCAACGATTCTTTGCAATGAATGCCTGAATATAAAGATGTACAGATAAAGGGGTTTACTGTGTGACTCACGGTGTCACACTGCAGCTTCCATGGTGACATTTTCTCCTTTCTTCCTTTTTTTTTCTTTTCCCTCCCTTTTCTATCTTGAATTTTATTTTGTTTTATTTTGTGGGGGGAGGTTGCAGGGGCAAGGGTGGATGCAAGGGAACCAGAGATGGGATGCATGTGTGGGTGTGTGTGCCCAAAACAGCTTGACCGCAGCTGCCATGGCAGGCTTACTGGCAGGCAATACCCGGATCCAGGAAAAGCCATACACCACCCTGGCACCACCCAGGAATGGGCCTGCATCTAAGGGGAAGTATCTGGTATTCCAAACATTCCAACTTTTAGATATGATTGGATAAGATCATCCCTGAGCCTAACACACACCTATTCCCCTTTTACCAAGACACCCTTAGACAAATAAATGTCAGCCAATCAGGGTCCTGAACCTTGGAAATTTCACCCAATCTCTGCTATGAAGAAAAAGCCCGCTGGGGCTCAGGCTCTCTGTTCTCACCACTGTGAACACTCACTCACATGCGGGATTCGGTCTCCGTGGTGGTCTTTCGAGGGTTCCCTGCAATCTGGGCATAACATATAGTTATGTTGTGAAAGACACAACAAGTAAGTAAAAAAGAAAGAGTTTTAAAAAAAAAAAGCAGGTTAAGCAAGCCATGAAGAGCAAGCCATGAAGAGCAAGCCATGAAGAGCAAGCCATGAAGAGCAAGCCATGAAGAGCAAGTCATGAAGAGCAAGCCAGTGAGCAGCATCCCTCCACGGCCTCTGCATCTGCTCCTACCTCCAGATTCCTGCCCTGTTTGAGTTCCTGCCCTGACTTCCTTTGATGATGAACAGCGATGTGGAAGTGTAAGCCAAGTAAACGCTTTCTTCTATAGCTTGCTTTTGGATCATGGTGTTTCGTCACAGCAATAGAAACCCTAAGACAAGCACCGTTTTTCTTCTTGATATTGTATGCGAGGGGGCGCAGCAAAGTAACCACAGACATGACCTCTCCATTAGGGGGAGGGTTCTTATTGTGGATAAGAGAGAGGAACTATCCAGAGGCATCTGGAAGACTCTAGAGAAGAGAGAGAAAAAAAGCACTGTACATGGCCAGGGTTAGGGAAGCGGGGAAGAGAGAAGATGCAGTGAGAGAGGAGAGGAGAGGAGAGGAGAGAGAGAGAGAAGGTAGTCAGAGGGCTTGGGCATGGGGACTTGTAAAGGGACTGAGTAGCTTAGGGGAGGGACTCCTGGGGATAAAAAGCCATTTCACAAGTTCCTGCCGAACGCTGAAACCCTATAGTCTAGCTTGAGCTCATTTCTAGACAAACAGAGGGCCTGAGACCTAGCAGGTATCTAGAACATCTTACTGATTTCTGCAAATATCAGATATAACAATCTGCACTTATTAACTAGGATCTTACTAAGTAGGTTTATGCAAGGTACCCACGAAGAAAGCATCACAAGGTGATGTGCGCGTACCTCTTGGCTGTTGCAAAGGCATAGGTGGCAGCTTGTGGACTGGGTTGTCTGAGTTTGACTCAGCTTCCTGTAGGCGGCATTTTTGGTCGGGACCACGGATTCCCCAATAAACAACACAGAGACTTACTAATTATAAATGCTCTGACGATAGCTAAGGCTTGTTACTAACTAGCTCTCACAACTTAAATTAACCCATTTCTATTAGTTTGCATGCTGTCACATGGCTCATGGCTTGTTGCCTCGTTTTCTACAAGTCCTGCTCCCTCTGTGTCTGGCTGGCGACTCTGCCCTTCTTCCCCAAGTTCTCTGTCTCGCTCTCCCGTCTAACCTCTTTCTGCCTAGCTATTGGCCAGCTGGCTCTCAATTAAACAAATGAGAGCGACATGTCTTCACAGTGTACAAAGGGATTATTCCACAGCAGCTTCCACGCCCATGTCCTCGTCTGGCAGACACTCTGTGCCTCAGTTTCTTGTCTTTGTTTTTTGACACGGAGTCTCATCTCTCTCAGGGTTGCCTCTAGCTGTCTCTGTCACTGAGGATGATTTTGAACTCCTGATCTTCCTGCTTCTACCTCTTACGTGCTGGGATTACAGGTATGTGCAATGCCCTCCAGCCTCTGCAGTGTGGGTGCTCGAACCCAGAGCCAAGCAAGCACTCGACCAACTGAGCCAAATCTCCAGTCCATCTGTGCCTCAGTTTGGTATTTTCTTTCTCCTCAATGAGTGAGTGTCTGTGCCCACCACGAAGTCCACTGCTCCGGCTCCGTTCTCCTCCCAGAAGGAGTGAGATTGACCCCAAGAGTCGCTACACTGGGGCAGGCAGTGTGTTGGCAGGGGTGGTGCTGGCCAAGGGTAACAGGCACAGACGACAACATTCCTGGTGTTCTTCTAAGGGCCCGGAGTTTAGGAGACAAAGAACTTCAGGGGTGCCGGTCGAGTGAAGACTGTGTGTACACGCCTAAATCGATCCCCGCTGCAGGGACCGGGCAGGGTGCCCAGCACCTCACACGCACGGTTTCGATTCTTCCTGTTCTGTTAACATTTCCAAGGCAGCAGAGCTGAGGCCAGGAATCGAAACCAAAGTCCCTCAGACTCCCTGGAGCTCCGCACTGTCAGCCTGGTGTTAAGAAATCCGGAACAGGAAAGAGGCAGCCGGCAGTGAAAGCCGGTTAGTACTGGTTTCTTGAGCTGCTCCACCCAGGCACAACTTCCTGGAAACCAGCCTGTCCTGGGGCCACAGCACACAGGAAGCCTTCCCCAGGCAAGGAAGGAAATGAAGGGGAACAGGAAGAAGCTATTAAACCTGGAATTCAGTTGTCTTCCCTGCTGAGTGTCAAGAAATTCCAGCACCACTGATAAAGCCAATTATCTGCAGAGATAATTTGTGTGTCTTCCCAAAGACAACTCAAACATAGCAAATGAAGAGTGTTAAGTCACAAACCCTGGGACAAAAGGCTGAGATACCTTAACATATCAAAGCCAACCTAGTTCCAGGTTCTCCCTTGCACCCTCAGCCCCTACAGGGTCCTTCTGGCTTGCAGGCCCCTCCCCCTCCCCAAACTTCTCCAGCCCAGGGGGCTGGGCTGCCCTTCCCCATATTTTCCAATTGTTTCGGTTACCCGCTGAAGTTGGGCCTCCTGGCCGCTGCACTGGGATCCCCCTCTCCTCACATGGCTCTGCTTTGGGTCAGAATGTTTGTAACCTTGAGTTTCAGCCTGTTGGCACAATAGCTCAAGCTGCACACTCCAGGGAGCCAGGGCACAATTTCATTTACAAAGGAACCTCCTAGTGAGGAAAACTAGTAGACACAGCCAGATGCTTGTATTTAAGCTTTACTTAATCTTTTCAAACTTGTGAATTATGCTCTTTAGACAATAGAACTTAGGAAGTCACAGGATCCTCAGCCCGGCAGTGACGGTGTGGACCTTTAATTCCAGCACTTGGGAGGCAGAGGCAAGAGGATCTCTGTGAGATTGAGACCAGAGTGGTCTACAGAGTGAGCCAGAGACAGAGCTATCTACAGTACAGCCAGAACTACACAGAGAAACCCTGTCTGGGGGCCACGTGTGGGCTGGGGGGAAGAAAGCCACAGGATCCATATAAAGATGTGACTCTCCCTTGAGAAGCCCATACTCACACGAGGGTATATATTAATCTTTTCCAAAGTGCCTCTCTTTGTATTAACTCCTATGCTTAATCTGTGCCATGAACTCCAACTCTGTTTCATACTGCTTATCATATTCTTTTCTGCAGTGAAAGGAAGGTTCTGTGGATGAAAAGAACTCAGAATGCCATGCCTGGAAGCCCAGAGGGTGGGGTATGGGAATGGGGGTGGGGTGGGGAATGAGGGTGGGGGATAGGGATGGAGGATAGGGGTGGGAGGTGGGGAATAGGAATGGAGGATAGGAGTGGGGGATGGGGGTGGAGGATAAGGGGGGTTGGGGGGATGCTTCTTCCTCTGTCTCTGACACCACCAGGTATTTTTTTTACAGCTCAATGGGACAAAGGAGACTAGTGAACATTCAGGACAAATACTGTTAGAGAAGAAGCTGTTGAATGCCACTCAGCCACCGCTGCCCATCCCATAAACACAAACCAGGAACCAAATCTGAGCTTCATCCAGAGTCAGTCCGGGAAGTCAGAGCAACATCTATTCTCCATTTTTTTTTATCATTAGCAATTTTATAGAGAACCAGAACAATGGCAATAAGGCAAGTCCTGTTCCTGTCCTCTGGTGGGTCAGATTCCCTGTCTCTTTCAACCTCAACTTCTGCCCCCACCACTGAGTGTGTGTGGGGGGGGGGTGAGTGTGTATGGGGGGCAGTTGCAAACATCAAGTCCACTGAATCTTGCATTCCTTCTCAGCCACCAATGTGGGTGACATCTAGATGTAAGATTAACTCAGAATAAACCATTAACCAGATGTACACGGTAAGATGCTTTCAAAGTGTACACACAGATGCTAATCTACATCACTGTAACAGGCCCCCACACCTTAGTGTAATAAGTGCCAAGAAAAACCACCCTGACCCAGACTTGACCTGTAAGACCAAAACCAGGACCAAGAAACAGAATCCCACCAATCCCTGAGCTTGCCCCAAGATCAGGCCACAGAATCCCACCAATCCCTGAGCATGAAATCCCACCAATCCCATGCCTGAGTTTGCCACAGAATCTGACCTCATAATCCCACCAATCCCTAAGCCTACTCCAAGATCAGGCAACAAAAATCCCACCAATCCAGGTCACCCTGAAAAGCACCCTCCCCAAGAAATCCTATGTAAATCCTGTCTTCTGCTCAGTGCTCTGCTGCTTTGCCCTCCCAATAAATCTCTTGTGTGAGGTTTGTTACGTGGTGTGATTTTGTGGTGTTCCTTGGCTCCCTACGGCAGGACACCTTTCCCTTTAGAGCTGTTACACATGCACTGGGAAACCTTCACCCAAAGCAGAGCTGGAACACGTTTATTGGGGAAGCCTTTTGTTTGTTTGTTTGTTTGTTTGTTTGTTTGTTTTTGAGACAAGGTTTCTCTGTGTAGCTTTGGCTATCCTGGATCTTGCTCTGTAGACCAGGCTGGCCTGGAACTCACAGAGATGCACCTGCCTCTGCTTCCCAAGTGCTGGGATTAAAGGTATGCACCACCACCACCTGGCTATAGTTCTGCTTCTTGCTAACTGTTCTTACTAACTGATGTGGGTCAACCACACAAAGGGGATGCATGATTTGGGCAAATTCCCTGTGTAGATGCTGGCCAGCAATTACAGACTTTCTATTCAGCTTTCAGAGTGTCTCTGTGTGTTCTCTGGTGGGCTTACCTCACAGCATTTTGGAGATGCCAGCAAGATTCCAGAAATTGAAACATCAGGATGATGGGGGCCTTGGATCCCCTGGGTCGACAACATTTGAGGAATATACAGATCCTAGGTGGTGTGCACTCTGAGACATTCCAGAACCCCAGGGACTTCTCTTGTCTCTGCTCCTATAGACACAGAGGTTCCCAATGCCTTCACCCTAAACAAGAAACTACAGAAAGTCACCTGGATTGTCCCCTCTGGAGGGGAGTCTGCTTATGGTACCTTCTTGCGTTGGACAGGACAAAGCCCTAATTCCTGCCTGGGATCTGCATGAGATGTCACTGGATCACCCTGTTTCAGTCTGTGGTGGTCACTCATGGTTGTCTTTATTGTTGTCAGTCTGTGTGTTTCTGTCATGCCTGTTGGTTGGAGAAACAGATCTAAAATGGAAGGGGGGGTGAGCAGTGCCAAGACACGGTTGAGGTGCATGCTGAAGCACTTCCGGAAGGAGTTTGCAGACTAGGATGGATATACGGAGCACTGGCTCTCTCAGGGCAAGACCCACCGCCCTGGCTCAAGACCTATGCCGCCTTGTTCGGGACCAAATCCTTACCCAGTTACCCCAGAGAAGCCCAAATTCTCCACCTGTTCTCTCAGCCCTGTGGGAGGAAATTGACATCCCCCTCCGTATGTCACACTGTAGCCCCTGGACACACCAGGGAGGAGAAAGTAGTGCCCCTTGCCCTGACAGCGTGTGTGTTAGGGAGTTATTCTCTTCTAGCTCAGGCCCCCACCCCCTTCCCTTCCGACATCACCTAGAAGCCCCTCCTCCAGCTCCTCCCAGCATGCTCACCCCTGGCTCTGACCGCTTTGTCACCTTCGGTCTCAGTCCGTGTCCTCGCTCTGCTCCCCAGAATGGTGCTCTCAACTCTGGGAGCACCTCCCGTAGGTGAGTGTGTTGCAACTCTGGGGGAAAGGTATCCTGACTGTTCGGGAGTCAGGCGGCACCTTGAGCTTCGGGAAAAGCTCTGGCAACTGGAGCTGCGATGGGACAGTTTAGCCCTAGAGGAAAAGTATCCCAGACACCTGGAGCTGCTAGGACAGCTCTGACAGCTGGAGCTGCAATGGGACAGCTCAGCTCTGGAGGGGAAGGTATCCTGACTGTCTGGGAGTCGGGCTATACCTGGTGTGGTAGGGGATGGTCTCCCTGCAGGATATAGTAATCCTGCTCCTCTCCTGGAGAGTTGCTACAGCTGAGCTTTGCTCAGCCCCCACTTAAGGGGCCAGCAGAGCTCTGCTTCCTTCTCTGGCCCAAGATGTTGCTGCTTTTGCTTCATTCTGCTAAAGGGAAACCCCCTGCAGAAATATAGCAATCTCCTCTGGCTCCGACGAAAAGTTGTTACTTTTTCTGCTCCACCTAGCTCAGTCCTCTAAGGGGCATCTCAGCAAGGTTCTTCTGTTCAGCTCCGCCTTGCTCAGCCTTGCTCAGCCTCCTAAGGGAACATCTCTGCAAGGGTTTTTCTGCTTAGTTCCTTAAGGGACGTCTCAGCAAGGTTCTTCTCTGAACTGGTGAATGAAGATCTTCGCACCCAAAACTCCTTTGAGAAAGAGATTTATTTGGGAAGGAGGAGTCCAAGAGACTGGCTGCCTCTGCCAGGGTGGGAAAGAAGAGCCAACATCTGAACAGGCAGGGTGGGTTATATAGGGTTTCTTATGGGCAGAGTTTCTCCAGGGAGAAGATTTTCTGTCCAAGGATTGGTTAGATTTTTCTGCTCAAGGATTGGTTAGATTTTTCTGCTCAGGGATTGGTTGGTTTTTTCTGCTCAGGGATTGGTTAGTTTTTTCTGCTCAGGGATTGGTTAGTTTTGTGGGATAGGGGCAGAGATGGCCCTGATCTCAAAGCCAAACTGTGTTTCTTTCACTGGCCTTTCTTAGCTTTTTGTCTCTAATTGTAAGGCCAGGGCACATTTCTTTCACTGACTCTGATTCTAGGGACAAAGAGTGTTTCTTTGGAACTGGTTTCGGAGTCAGGGCATGTTTCCTTGGTTCTGGGTTTGGGGACAGAGTGTTTCTTTCTCTGGCTCAGGTCCCAGATCCAGGCTGTGTTTCTTTCCCTGGTTCTGGGTCAGGGTGGGTTTCTCTAGCCAGGCCCTTTCCCTACACCTCCTCTGGTCCCTCTCTGGTCCCAAGAGCAGAAGCATCACCATTCTCTCCTCTTGTCTAGGGGAGTGTGTACAAGAAAGGGGAAATAGTTCTCCTGCTGCACTGGTGGTAGCAGTGGGTGGGTGGTCTCTTCTACCTCAGGCCCCCTCTTCCCGCCACACAGAGTGGCTCTGGCTACAGGGACTTCAGGAGGAATTTCCCTGAGGCAGAGGCAGCCTCCATCCTTCCCTTATGGGAGGCACCTCTGGGAACCCAAGACCTGAAAGTTCGTACTCTCCACCTTGCATGGTTTATGTATGCCTTTCAAACAAGGATCTGTATAATTAGAAAACTCGGGACTCACCATTCTCCAAAAACCTCAGGCTTTCATTAGCCTCTGGAGACTGCTGTCTTCTACACCCACCAGCTGAACTGGGCTGACTGTCAACAGCTCCTGGCCACCTCTTCACCTCAGACATGAAGAAGGTAAGAAAGCAGCCCTCCCGCAGGGTGGGGGATTGCTTGAGGACAGTGCAGCCTGAATAAAGCAGATGTTCCCTTCTTCCTGACCTGACTGGGACCCCAACACTGACCAAGGTAGGGAAACTCTGGATACTTTCAGCAGGACCCTTTTAGGAGGACTGAAAGCAGCTGCTAGGACACTCACTAATCTGTCTAAGGTGAGCAAGGACATACAAGAGCCTCACGAACTGTCCCTGGCTTCCTGGAGTGCCTCTGAGAGGCCTGCCAGCTCGTGACCCCAGTAGACCCAAACATTCCAGATAAACAACAAGCAATCGATACTGCTTTTGTTATATGGTCAGCACCAGATCGTAGAAAAAGCTTCACAAGTTCGAAGGGTTTGAGGGTAAAAATAGGTCACAGTTATTAGAGATTGGTCACAAGGTTTGCAATGACTGTGACGCTGTAGAACAGCAGTTCTCAACCTTCCCACAAATATAAAGACCAATAAAAGAGATCCCAGCGGGGGAAGTCAGAGACACTGGGAGAGGGAGACTAGAGAGGGACCAGTGTGCTTATTGTAAACAAAAAGGACACTGGAAAACTAAATGCCCCAATTGAAACAGTAAAGAAGGAAGGCCTGGGTCAGGGCTGATAGGACCAGGGCTCCGTCCACTGAGCATCCAGGAGCCTGAGGCTGTGGCCATCCAGCCAAAAGACTTCATCCTGTTTCTGCCAGTTGGCTGGCTTTTTTGCTGGCAGTTGCCACGACAGTCGTGCTAACAAAGGAAGCTGACCAACTGAGTTTGGGCAGGAACTGTTCCTCCTCAGTATTGGTAAGTTTTCATCGACACCTTCTCTGAATAGGTGGAAGTCTTTCCCAGCCTAATTGAACAGCCTCAATGGTCACCAAGACAGTCCTTCAAGACTTCATTCCTAGATCTGGATTGTCCCTTTCCCAGGGGGTCTGACAATGGCCTGGTCTTCATGGCCAAATCTGGCAACATTCCTAATTGTTGATTGGAAACTGCATCATGCCTGTAGGCCACAGAGCTCAGGACAGATAGAAAAGATGATTGGGTGTAGTCGGAAGTTTTCCTGTGTCCTGCCCGGCCCTGAGATTCCACAACCACTTATAAAACAATCACTCAGAGGCTTATATTAATTATCAACTGTATGGCCAATGCAGGCTTCTTGCTAGCTAGCTCTTTCATCTTAAATTAACCCATATCTATTAATCTATGTATCGCCACATGCTCTGTGGCTTTACCTGTGTCCCATTACATGTTGCTCCTTGGACCGTGGTTTGGTGTCTCTCCCATCCTGCATTTCTCTTTCCTGTATCTCTGCTTGGATTTCCTGCCTGCCTCTAAGCTGCCTTGCCATAGGCCAAAGTAGCTTATTTTTTTAACCAATAGGAACAACATATATTCACAGCATACAGAAAGGCATCCCATAGCAAATGGGACCTTAAAGGAGACTTTAGGTATGTCCTTGAGACCAGTGAAATTTGGACCAGCCTCCCACCTTTTGTCCTAAGCACCAGGTGCCGCCCATACCCAGGTGTTTTCACCTCATTTGAAATCATGTTTAGGAGACCTCCTCTGCCCTGAAATATTCATAAAGCAGAAATTACTATCCACTTCCTCTTCAAGTCCTTACAGGCCCTGCAACAGACCCAAAGGGCTACTCACCAGACGGTTCAAGAGGCCATGCCCTTTTGCCTATGTCTGAGCCTGCCCACAAGTTCCAGACTGAAGAGTTTGTATGAGTAAAGAGGTCCTGACCCACAGTCTGCAGCCAGCATGGTACAATCCATATCCCATGGTCACTACCACTTCCACAGTAGTGAAGACCACCAATGTCACTCCATGGATCCACCACACCTCACTGAAGGAGGCTACAGAGGGCAGTCACAGATGGATCGTCAACAGGTCATCTGACCCCCTG